CAATTTATCATATAGTACAAAAATCCTTGTTTTCCACAATGTTGCATCAAAATATGATGATGTTTGCTCCCCTTTACATCTTTTGATTTTTGATTACATCACTAATAACTAGCAAGAGGGCAAAATGAGCCGATAACGTCATGTTTCGACTTCCCCACCTATCATAGAGTGAAAATGCTGTAGCTCAGAGACCGTCTTTGGTATTGTGTTTCACTTGGAAATACGTCACAGTATGAAAGGGAAATGCTTGATGATTTCCCGCTCATGTTCACTTTAAATGAAAGGCTGTCCATTAAAAAAAGGCAAGTTAAACTAGGAACTAGGAAGTATGTACTAAACCATTGCACAGAGGGCCCATATGACAGATTTTGCTGTCCGTATTTTCCGTAAGGGTTTGATGTAGTGTGTGTAAACATTGCTCAGTTGTCAACATACAACATTCACTTCCCAGTCCATACAGTCCATGTATAATTTATATTTTATGCTTTATTTTTATATGTTGACTTATAAATAGGAATATATATATATATATATATATATATATATATATATATATATATATATATATATATAGATAGATAGATAGATAGAGAGAGAGAGAGAGAGAAATAAAAATAGAAAATAGAAAATAAATAGAAATTGCAAACTGGACTGCTTTTTGAATGAAGCACAGCCATTCAGAACATAAGTCATTTACATATATCACTCATATAGGCACAGTAACAAAAACAGCCTGTTTAATTCTGTAACATAAAGAGAGATTAGAAAATGCTCATGTAAAAATGAATGAATTATGAATGTTTTGATATATAAACCCACAAAATAGTGTAAATGGCCCTTTAAAACTAACTTTAAGACCTTCCTCAGAGACACAATCAGGAATGATCAGGAGGGATCATTGTGTGCCACTTCAGTGGAACGTTTGGGAGTCTGTTTTGATCTTAATTAATTTTGATGCCAGTAGCATTGAAGTAATTAAGTGTATTAATAACACTTAATTAGTTAATGTGATTGGTAAAATATCTCAAAATATTCCATATCTGTTATAGCTGTTTCCTTCTTTTTCTGCCAGGTATTTTGTCAGTTTAGTTTAAAGCCATTACAGTCAGTTTTATGTATATATTTTTTGTATTTCATATTGTATGGTACCAGTTTTTATTATTTCTACTGATCTCATTCTCTCTTTTCTCCTTTCTCCTTTCCATCTGTCCAGTTGCTCTATTACCTCTTCCCTTTTTCTCACAGGCCATTATTCAGTATGCTAAGTGCTTAAGTGTTTATCAAACCAGCTCTTGTACTATTGCATGGAAATACTAATAATGAGTTGAGTGCCTGTCTTAATCAGTTATTGGTGCTCTTAGCAAGAAGACTCAATGTTTCACTAATGCAGTTCTTAGGTCTTAGCTTTAAGAAAGGCAGAAAAGCACACTGTGATGATTGTAATGACTGTAATGATGTTCCACCAAGTCCTCTTAATTTCCATTGTAAAATTGAGAGTACTCAATACATACTCACTACATGAATTTGCAACTTGCAACAGCATTAGTGTCTCAGGTTAACAACAGAATGCCATAAATATGAATTAAGTAAAAAAAAAATTTTCTCCACCTAACATTCCAAAGATGTTCCCTGAATCTGAACACTGTTTTGTTGCACAATTGTGCTTTGTGAAAAGTGAAAATAAGAACATGTTGTGTACAAAACCTCCACTCTGGCACACTTTAATGCACAATTGCTGTTTATTTGCTTAATTTAATATATTGGAAAAAAATCAACATAAAATGTGGCCTGTGCAAAAGTTATGGTATGGTATTTTTTATTTATTTATTTTTTCTCATTAACATTAGAGAAAAATGCCATGTTTGGGCATGTTCTTGGTAGAGAACTTAAGAAAATCAGCAAACTTTACATATGACTGTATTTGTAGTACCAGGGTACTGGATAATAAGCATCTGCAATATACGTATTTCACAATATGTATTATGTCTTTTTGCACCATGATTCAATATGTTTTTGACACAGGAGTCAAGAAATGGCAATATTCTTTTTGCTCTTATTTGTTCATTTATTCACTGGAATACAAACTAGACAGAAGGAATCATAACTGATACAAAAAATAATTTTCTTGGAAGACATATTTAAATACAAACATAGTAAATTGTTCTTCTTTTTCTCATGGCATTCCCATTTAGAAAATACGTGTTTTTAATAGAACAGTAAAAATGTATAATCAGTAGGTCTGAACTCGCAGACATACTATCTAAAATCTAATTGTATTTGACTCAAAGCACAGATTCTCTAACAAGCCCCATACAGAAAAAATGTATGTAAAGGTGTGTTGTACAATCCCTGCTGTGTTTAGTATTTATTCTGTCTGTCTGTGGAGTCTGCTGGTAGCCCACACAACAAATACTTCACATCACTTAATAGCATATAAAAGTGCAGAGAATGGCCTTCTCTGGCAAGCTGTAACTTGTGGCATCACCAAGGGATGCCATCACAATACCCCTCTTCATCATTGCTGTTCCTCTTGCTTTGTCCCCGCACAGAGATTTGATACCCTGTGATAGTCTGCTTCCCCATGGCAGTGCTGCTAAACTACTGTTGATTTTTCACTCTGCTAAGCCTCACTTTGTTCTCAGAGAGAGAGAGAGAGAGAAAGAGAGAGAGAGATGTATTGATTGGTGTTGCACACTGAGCACAGAGGCCAGCCTGGTGCATGTGATCCTGTTGCTGAGTGGGCCTTTGAACTTAGATATATCAATGAAAGAATATTATATGTAGCTTAATGAAGTTATATGTTGTTTTAAAGAGGCCATATCATACTTTTTTGTGTTATCTTGTGTTTTTTTCCCAAGGGTCCGCTCATAAAATTGAAATGGGTTTAGGTACAAAAGACTTTTACATGACCATTATGACTAAGCCTCCCTGTTTCAATACTGGTTTTGACAAGCCCTTGTCCGCTTGGCCTTGTCATTTCCCTTTGGGGGAATTCCCAGCATCATCTTAAGGGCTGTTCCATTACTTTATCAGCTCAAGTAAAAGGTATTAGATGAGCCTCCTGAGGAGTGAGGGATTGAGTGAACACCAACTTTGCCTTCAGCGGCAGAATTTGTCCAGAAATCATTGCGACCTGACACATTTCCCTTGTCAAACCCAAAATAATAGTGGACAAAATGTTTATAAGCTGTAGCAATAAACTACTTTAAAATGCTTAACATTTCAAAAAGATAGCATTCGATTCACTGGGCTTTCAGTTACAAACTACTTCATCTGTTATATGTGACTGCTGATACAGCTTCATCACTTTACTCTGCTAGCTAGCTTGTTAACATGCTAAAGGTACACGGCTAACAAAAACAAAAATAAAGGTACTATATCACGGTTCTAGGTTTATAACCAGACAAAGCAGTTACTGGCACCCGTTGTGTATGTTATGCTTAAACCTTTTTGCGTTGCAGAATTTGCGTGGCTATCCGATTAGCTTACTGAGGATAACCTGCCGAGGGCGAGCACATTCTGTTTGAATAATCCACTTCTCATTGTCATCTCCTCCACTTCTGCCGCAAAGGGCCACTTATATGAGTAGGTATGACGTGCATCCGAGTATTGACTTGCCTGTATTGTGCATCTTTCAAAAATCATTCAGTCCGGGTTCAAACACTTCTTATAACTTCAATATGAATGGGTGGGCTACACAACTGTAAGCTGAATAGGCAAGTATATGCAAATACAGTACATAAAAACAGGGAATTCAGTGTGGGATGTTTTTCAGCTTAGTTTTCATATATGCAAACTAAATGGTATGCTATGAAACATACAGTGTTTACAAGCTACATGACATACTTTAACAGTGATTACATACTCTTTCTTATTCTTTTTAGATAAGCTCTGATAGGCATTTATTAATCTAAAAACTTCTGTCCACTTATTTGGCTCACTTTTATTTTTTTTCATTATTATAGATTTATTATTCATTTACTACTTCTTACACAGCTCTTATTGTCGTTGCTGTGTTATTGTTTTGCTACTTGGTGTCAACCAGAGGAGTATGGGTTCTCCTTTTGTGTCTTTGTTCCTCTCAAGGTTTCTTTCTCTTGTTGTGAGGGAGTTTTTCCTGGCCCCGTCACCCTCGGCTTGCTCACTAAGGGCTGAGACCTGGATTTCTTTAAATCCACTTCGTGACAACGCCAGTTGTAAAAGGTGCTACACAAATAAATCCAAATTAAATACATTAACTCTTTAAGGCCGACACGTAAACATGACTATTTCTGCTGTTGAATCTGTTATCCTCTATTAATTATGTGATTTTTCAGTACTATTGTTCCATTTATTTGACATGTAACGACTGTGATCTAACAGAACTGAAAATTCATAGCTTTTTATTCAGTTTGTGTCACAAACTACCTTTTTGAACTAAAAAGGACATAAATAAGTCTGTAGCATAAGTCAGAGTCTGTTGTTATTTTGATTGGACTAAACAATGTTAAGTCCTTACTGATCAAAATTGCACTCTGAATGAACTCACACCCTCACTTGGAAAATAAACCACAGTACATTCACCAATAAAGGGAGATCTTTTACACAGTGATACAAGACATGGGAGCACACAGAAAGCTCTGTGGCCTTATGGATTTAAAAGAGTTAAAGGTCTCAGATGATGTTTTAGAGTAGACCTCCAGCTACATTCTCAGTTCGATAGGGTTACGCTCTTCTATTTCAAAAAAGCAGGGAAAATTTGCTTTTCCATGTTACGGGCCCTTAAACTTTATGAAGTGTCTGATTTGTGGTTGAATGAAAAAAGTAATACAAGTTGAGCTGTAATGTAATGTAAAGCAATAAATACTCATATGCTTACCCCCATATCTAACTGTAGAGTTAGTTATTAGCGCTATTGTTTTATAGTGTGTGCCTTTATTCGATGCTGTGTATATAAAATGACCCCTAGTCAGGCTTGAAGCATGTCTAATGGTGCTTTACTTGTTTTTTCCTCTCTGTAGGTCATTGTGGGTCATAGGTCATTCATTCAGCCTTGCTGTGATCTTTGTGTGAACATCCCTGCCGTGCAAATCACAGCCCCGACCTGTCACACCTCGTCCGTTTCACCTTGACTCTGCACTCATCTTCTCATCTCCCCGTCCCTACGCTTCCCCACTCCGGTGCCACCTCTTTCACCATCTGCTCACAGAAGGAGCTGGGATGACGCCAAACCTGCTTACCTCCATATCCTACCTCAACCAGGGCTAATCATCATCATCATCTCCACACACCCCCTCACACACACTCCAGCCGGCGAGATGGGCGACGGGAGCTGGGTGTGTCTGAGCCCATCCGAGTTCTCCCAACTGCAGCAATACAGCGAATGTGAGTACTAAACATGACTCATCCATAGAGCAAAACTCAGCATGCTCTCATCGGGATTCATATTTTATGTTATTCCAGCTGGCTAGCTGATTTAGCTTGATTTAATCTGGCTAGATAGTCACATGGTTTAAAAGAGCAGTTAGTAGAGTTGATTAGATGAATGGTTTTATCAGTTTGTTTACTTGGTCATTAAAGCTCTTAGCCCTTTGAATAAGTGTGCCTGCAAAGCACCTATTTAAGGTAATGTCCTGGTCAATATGTAATTTGGGGATTTTTCACTATGTGTAAATGTCCCTGAAACTGGCCCTCTGGGCTTTTAGGAAGCACTGCTGGGAATGTAGGCTGTATTGACAGAATGTATTGATGCCCTGCTAGTGTTCTGTGTGCCGTAATTCATCAGCAACGTTTAATGTTGTTATTGATGTAAAACATTTTATAACCCACCCTTATGTGTTTTCTGTATTTTTGTAATTTTACACTGATAAAAATGTACTGTGCTGGAACATTTTTCATTAACCAACAATGTAAGTGTACCCTTAAAGATAAAACAATGGTTTTAAGGTCTAACTGTGTACCTTTCCTAGGGGAAAAATACATAACTTCTCATAACTTCATGTCAGAACAATAAAATAAATTGCAGTGGATTATGGTACAGTTATGTTGCCAGACTAGAGGTACCGAAGACCCTTGATGGTACCACCCCAGTGACAGTTTAGTGCTTTTTTTCTGAGAGAGTATACTAGCAGTGATGTATATTTTACTTAATTTAAAGGAATATAATATGGGACAATTGTTTTTTATAATAAAAACAGTAAACAATATTAAAAGGTTATTATAAAAATATTTATAAATATGTGGCAGATATTAAATACAAAATAGGGAGATAATGCTCATGTTGTTGGTTCCCTAGAAGTTTTTCAAGCACAGATTTGCTCAAATTTATTAAAATTCTTCAAATTTTGTATATGTTACAAACATCATGGACATGCTTATCAGACAGTAAAAAACAATCAAAACAACTTTAACAGCCCTGCTCAAATAGCTTAACTTACTTTTTGAATAACAGTAAAACAATTGCGGCCTCATTTAGAGTGCAACAGTTTCATTTTCATTCATTTAACAGTAAGTTTACTACAATTACACTAACATACATTGACTTGAAATAATTCCTCATTTTAGCCTTAATAGAATTTACAAAGGCTGATTAATGTTCAGTAGATTTAAAAAGCCTCACAGATGAAGGTACATTGATGTACTAAAAGGGCAAAGCTATAGCATTTTGAGATATCATCCATGTAGGAACATATTGTATTCAAAAGCTAATGCAAACATGCATACATGTTTTTCACTCATTCATTTTTGAATGTCTATTAAATGTATGCATTTTAATGCCACAGGTTAAATATGATCTTCAAATATGAACAGTTTGATGAATTTAAGGATACTAAAAATTTTGAGAAGTTCGGCCAGTATGATTAAATACAGTCACAAAGTGAACATAATCCAGTATTTGAACAGATTGAAACTGTGAATAATGCAAAGTTAATGTCTGAACATAGGGGTGTACGATTATATCTGAGTCATGTCAGCAGATAATTGAACAAAAAACATTGGCATTGGACAGATGTTTAGATTTGACCAGTATTTCAAACTGATATTTAGTGATGTTTTTTTTGTACTTGTAGTTGTACATTAAAAATAGTGCTTTGACTGACATGATTACAATGTGTCAAGTGGTTGCATATAAATAAAATATATTACATGAACACAGTACTTTCCAAAACATGTAAACTTAAAGAAGACAATTGTTTTGATATAACATATTTTAAAACATATATTATTTTTAAATGTACTTTTTTCCCCCCTCCTCCAGTCTTATTTATTATAGCAGATACAATAGTGTGATAACTTTATGTATAATGCAGTACAACATACTACAAGAATTTAAAAAAAGAAATAAAAAAACAACACAGTAAACTTGAGTAAATTTAAACACAGTAAATAATAAATATCAATAGTACTGCAATCTATATTATCAACATTAATACCAAAGGTGATACAAAGGTACAGAAAGACAGTCCCATTCACCATAACCTACTCCATTTCAACACTGTAGCACATCCCTAATAGCCGGTTTAGTGTAATCCAAGAACTCGCCCCAAACTTGATAAAACTTCTTAATCTTTTTATTATCTAAATAAGCTAATCTTTCAAGGGGGAGAATATTATATATTGTTTTATACCACTGAGTTATACTAGGTTGTGTAGATGAAGTCCAATTGACCAAGATGCATTTTCTTGCAACAGCGAGGAGACCTCTAATCAGTAAATCTTGATCAGCAGAGGGTCCATTAAATGACGCTCCTAGAACTAGGACTAAGGGGTCAAAGGGCACAAATACATGTGTAAACCGCTTAATTTCGGAGCAGATCCGACCCCAGAACTTATTAATATATGTGCAAGTCCACATGCAATGCAAGAGCGTGCCCTTGTTTGTTTGACATTTAGTACATAAATCTGATCTAGTTGGGTCCAATTTTTTCAGTTTCTCAGGGGTAATAAACAGTCTATGGACAATCTTCTGTGAACTGGTTGGAGCTAAGACAAAAATGAATACGGGCCAGAATTTCCTCCCCCTTGTCATCTGAGATTGCCATGTTAAGGTCCATTTCCCATCCGATTCTACTGGAACTAGTGTTTAATTGATTTCCCTTGTTTAATATAACATTCAGAGATTAAATGTTTAAGTTTGGGGCCAGAACTTATAAGTGTTTCTATTTTATTTAAGTTATGCTCCTGGGGTATAAATGAATTTACATAACTCCTGATTTGTAGATACCAGAAAAAGTCATGTTGAGGGATTTTTGATTCTTGTTTTAATTCCTCAAAAGACATAAGATGATCTCCACGCCAGAGGTCACCTATAGAAAACATTCCTCGGTATTCCCACTGTTTGAAACCAGAGTCAGTAATACCAGGAAGAAATTCTGGATTCCCGCGGATAGAGGCGAAAATTTTCCCAAGCTTATCATTTTTAAAGTGTCTTTTTATCTTGGCCCAGACTGATAAAGTATTAAATAATAATTTATGTTTCCCAATGCATCTCTGCCACAGCTCCCTTTCCAAAGACAACAGGCAGGTAATAGGCGTAGGACTGCATGCATGCGATTCTGTATCTAACCACAGACACTCTACATCTTTGGCAAACCACTGTTTGATGAAATTTAAGTGGGCTGCCCAGTTATAAAGCTGTATGTTAGGTACACCTAGTCCACCTGAGCCTGTTGGGAGTTGCAATTTCCCCAGTTTGAATCTAGGCTTCCTTCCAGCCCATATAAAGTCACGGATAATGGAGTTGAGCTGCGTATTATCTCTTTTTTAGAGAGGTTCAGCTATCATTTGTAAAATGTATAAAATCCTGGGTAAGATGCTCATTTTAACTATGTTCACTCTGCCTATTAAAGATAAAGGGAGACATGTCCAGAGTTGCAAATCACTTTGAATTTTCAGTGAGTGGAGGAATATTATGCTTAAATAAGCTATCAAGACAAGGTGGTATCCATATGCCAAGATAAAGTAGCCCACTGGGGCTCCAGGTGAATGGTAGCGAGTTCATTGGATTGTTCTGACCTACTCTAGTAGGCATTGCCACGGATTTGGAGAAGTTGATCTTATAGCCTGAGAAGGTCCCAAAATTTGTATTTAGTTCAATTAATCGAGGCAAGCAGGTGTTCGGTTTATTAACGAATAATATTATGTCATCAGCGTAGAGTGATAGGCAATGATTAGATCCGTTAACTGCAACACCGTGAATATCAGGGTCAGATCTAATTGCTTCAGCTAATGGCTCAATAACAATACTGAAAATTAAGGGTGCCAAAGGGCAACACTGCTTAGTGCCTCTCCCAATGTTGATCGGGTCCGAGCGCTGGCCATTGGTTATAATATGAGCAACAGGGTTCTTATACAGTAACCGGACCCATCTAATAAAGTGCTCCCCAAACCCAAAATGATTTAATAAATTAAGCATGTATCCCCATGTTGTATGATATTAAGTACGCGTCTAACATTGTTGAAGGAGTGTCGCCCCTTAATGAACCCAGTTTGGTCTGGGTGAATAATACTGGGCAGTATTCCTTCGAGTCGGCGAGCTAGGATTTTTGCTAAGATTTTAGCATCAACAGACATTAGGGTAATAGGTCTATATGAAGCTGGATCTTCTGGATTTTTGTCCTTTTTCAAGATGAGGGTTATATTAGATAATCTTAGGGATGGTGGGAGAATTCATTTATTAAATGCATCCCGGTACATGCGAAGCATTGGGGTTTTAACTACATCTAAAAATGTTTTATAAAACTCTGTGCTGAACCCATCTGGACCCGGGCTTTTATTACTAGGGAGAGCTTTAATTGCTTCTATTAACTCACTCTCTGTCAGTGGATCATCCAAAATTAATTTGTCATCCTGCTGGATGTGCTTTAAAGCAGGTGAGAGTCTGTCTAAGAAAGAAGACATTAAGGCATCAGAGTTGGTACACTGTGATTTATATAGATTTTCATAATACTGCTTAAAGACCTCACTGCTGTCCTTATTCAGAGTTTTCCTGTTCTTGTGTTCATCCTTAATTGTCGCTATAAAAGTAGGATCTTTCCTCCCTGATATAAACCGAGCAAGATACTTCCCTGGCCTGTTCCCAAATTTATAAAACCTATGTCTAGCGTACAAAAGTGTTGGGGCAGCTTTCTGTGTTAGTAAAGCATCAAGAGATGCACGTGCTGCGACAAGTTTTTTTGCTATGGTTTTTCCTGGAGCTTTGATTAATTTTTTCTCTAATTCAGCTATTTCCCTCTCCAAATTAATCTGGGCCAGATTATCTCTTCTCTTTTTTTGGGAGACAAAGGAGATTATTAACCCTCTAGCGTAAACCTTAAGAGTTTCCCATATCAAAGAGGGATCTGCGGATTCGGCATTGTTAATAGACAGAAATATGTTGAGTTCTT